CAGTCCAGGATCACCACATCAACGTTTCCGAACCATCAGCGCCATAAAACTTGCATTAGTTCTCAACCCAGCCATCTAATTAACCCCATTATTCTGCAGGTATCTCCTCCCAAAGTGTGAAACATTCAATTGTAAAGCATCCAAATTCAGAATCATCGTCATGCAGCCCTGTTGCAGCTCCTAGGAAGAAGATACACCAATCTACAGGTAGTACCGAGATTGAAAATGTCGCGATGGATTTTCCTTTTTAATTGTATTTTTTTCAAGTTTGCATGTTGTTGTCACGCGTTTATGTATGGTAAAACTTGTTTATGCAGAAAGACTGGCATTATATTTCTTAGACATCCTCTTTACCCACTTATATAAGAGAATAAAAAATAATGAATTAAAAGTGGGCTCTATCATTAATCCAACACCCGTGTATCTTGAACAACATTAACCTATTCCAGCATTAACGGCTGGAGACTATAGCTAAGAGACGTTAATGACCTCCATTTTCAAGATGCTTGTCGGGCCATACGCGAAATAAGAGGTCAGAAATAGATAATGAGTCTGGAAAACTTCCTAAGCGTTTTTATTTTTTTTTATGTATGGGTTGGGAAAATGGTTCCCCTGCCGCTGCAAATGTATCCTCGCTCAAGCTTGACAATCTTTAGGGCAGACGATTCGGTATTGAATGATACCAAAAGGTGAGAAGTCGCCTTTCGCCACAACTGTTCGCTATTCGCCAAAGCCTTGAAGCATCCCTTTTCTAATTTTTTATTCTCCTTCCGTTGTTATCCTCAGGTATCTATTTGGTTAAAGATGGTGAACCATCAGATGAGGAGTTGGAATGTCTGTCCAGGGAACTTGCAGGAAAATGGAAGACATTAGGAAGACGCCTGGGATTCAACGAAGCTGCAATAGATGACTTTGATCAAGCCAATAAGGAGCTGGCAGAGAAGGCTTATAAAATGTTAATGGCTTGGAAACAAAAAGGAGGCTGCGAAGCTACTTACAAAGTTTTGTACGATACCTTGTGTCACAAATTGGTGGAATGTAAACGTCTAGCAGAGCAGTATTGTTGCGATGAGATTGTAGGAAATGACTCTCCTTAGTCATATACGATAGAGACTGAGTCGTTTCTGTATTACGTCAAATATCTTTGTGAGTACTCTAAAGAGCGTCTGTGTCGAGCATTCGCGCTTAGTAAGTCGTTCGTCTTCCTTGCGATTCAAGATAGGGGAAAGATTATCTCTAAAAAAAAAACATATTTACCCGTATTTTTGCACTCGAGAACCGCTAGCTAAAGAATACTAAGGTCGGAATTCACTCAGACGTCCAGAACGACAGAGCTGAATAACGTCTGCGCATGCGCTACGCTTTGGCGCGGATTTTGAGTCGTTTGCACGTTGGATGTGCTATGCTATAGATTCTAGGCGTTTTTTTACAGAATAACTTCCAGAATAACTCCCAAAAACTTTGTACACCCCTTAGATATTTTTAGAATTTAATTTTCTTCTTTAAAACACTGGAAATAGGAAAATGCCTTCAACGACAACAAAATGCCTTGGTTTTAAATGCCAGCCCTATTTTTCGCCGCAAATTTCGCTGAATTTTAACCTCGAGCGCTTGAGCCCGTGTTATTGACCGTATAACTGTGACGTAGCATTTCGTTATTTAGCTCTGTCGTCCAGAGCATGTGAAGCACATTACTACCCTCAAGCATCTTATTTCATACTTCACAGCTTGACATTAGAATGCATTTTCTCCTTATTATTCTCTGTGCATTTCCTAAGGAACAGACATAGAGAATTGGTTTAACAGTTAAGAGCTTCTTAAGTTAGAGATCAGTTACTATATTCTCGTGTTCTTAATTTTTGATTTAGGTTGACACTGTAAGGAAAAATTAGATGCTAGACACTATTTGAGTTGAATTAATCGTTTGTGGTTAGCTTGAATTAACAGAATAATTTTGTAAAGAGTGAGATTCTCCTTTTCTCAGTGTGGTGGATAAGTATAAAACGTGTAACGGCCTTAGATTACAAAATTTGTAGATGCCGAGCTACCTTTTTGTTTCTAAAAAGTGTGAAAGTCCAGCAAAAATCAAATACAAAATGTCTCTTTCTCAGGCTTAACTCCCATGATTCTTTGTGGTTTATAGAGGTTTCGCCCCATTGAAAGTTCAACAACAAGTTCACCCCTGCTTCGACGAGTGGTCCCTGTCAAATATAATATAGATTTATATAGCCAACCCTGAAAGCGGAGTTCCAGTCAGTTTATTTTCCAGCCCTTCAACTTCTAAAAATTCCTATGCACTGGCTCTCGAAGAGTTAACGAGATGTGGAACGGAAGGAAGATATTCTCACAACTTGCAAAGTGATCAACATATCAACATGCGTGCTAGTCAGCGGTATTTTCAAGCAGCTGAAGACTTTCGTTGACGTTCCTTATTGTTTGAACGGATTGTCAAGAATATAGAATGTTTTCTTCCCTAGATGTCTGTATCGGTTGAAATGATATTTTATTGCCCGTGTTTGTTAATTTTGGTTTAGACAGAATGAAACGACGTTAAACGACTTCGAGTTAAGATCTAGATATCACCGGTCCATTAAAGGGTTTACACGCGGGATCAGTAGTCACTGAAACAATATGCCAGAAACGTACTTAGCATCTCTTATACCTTCTCCTGATGTCGCCATTAATGACTGTTTACTTCAAAGGTTTTTCTCTAAACTGTCAAACTCCTCTGATAAGCGTAGAAAATTAGAAAGAAAAGTCACATTTCAACTCGAGTCGATGTTTAAATTCTCTTCTTTCAACTGCTCTGGCTGGAAAGACCGATGCTGTAATTGCATATCAATGTACATGTCTTGAAACCAACTATCCTCTATCCTGGCAACCCTAGCCACTGAAATTCTAAATTTGTCTACCATCTGGTTCTTACGCTGCGAAAGTTAGATTTCAATGAAGACAGGCTAGAGCTAGAATATCTTTGTGCATAACAGAAACTAATCCAAAGATCAATCAAGTTTTATATTTAGTTTTAAAGTTGAGTCGATGTTGTTATTGACCCATGAAAGAGATTCTGATATGGTAGCCTCTATGAAATTCTGTCCTGGAAACTGGAGTTGTGGCAACATCACGGTTACCATGAAAAACAACAATACATTTTATTGATCTGAAAAAGTATTCATTTGACCATCAACTAAGACTTTCACTGGTTCACTCTGACAAAATTTTAACATAAGAGGTTTTAAAAGGCTTGAGTATTTGTTAAAATTGGCCAACTTGATGCAACAACTCAGGATATACATTGAATGCACACTTTTTTTAAACATTTTTTCATTAATGCAGTTACCTGCTGGCAAAACATTATGATATATTTCAACCCAACCATTTTCTTATGAACACCATTATCAAATAATTATGCAGGTACCCTGGCTAAATAGAAAAATGTGTAGTATATACAAAATGTTTTAAATGCCACATTTAAACTAAGCGAACGGCATTGAGAAGGGTGTATAAGGGAACAGGGTCGCTTATTTCTGTCATTCATTTGCTTCTCACACCTGTTGCGGACTAGTTCATGAGGCTGGGCTGTCAGGGCGAGCAAGCCATTAGATTTAAGGGAAATGTTAATTAGGAAAGTGATTATTTTGGAGCCTGGAAAATATCATTGTGTAAAGCCATACAGGTACTAGCAAACTCATTCTTATAAACTAGTACGAGGAAGGATACAATATTTTACTTCATAGATTTGATTCACAGGCTGTGCACAAAAATTTAATTGGGCTATTAGAACTAAAATCCCGAAGGAATGATAAAACGTAGCCGGGTTAACACTGAAGTCGCCTCTAGCGTTCAAGTCGTTGTTTTCAAATGTCGGTTTTTTTTGCGAATACAACGTGTATGGTATAAAGACAATGGCTCCGAGAAGCCGAATTAAGTACAAAGATAATAGATTGAAAATGATTGAGATCGTTGCAAAGATGCTTGCAGCAAGGATGCGTTATTTCCAGAAATAG